TTGTGTTCAGAGCCACCTCCCTGTCACTTATCCTGCACAGGATGGCCAATTTGGGAAGAACTGCTCTGGGTTTACCCCTCCTTTAAGTCCTTGCCTTCAGGCACCAAACTTGTCCTAAAGCAGGTTGTTCTACCAATATGTTAGCATAAAGCACCAAAAACCTGAAATCAACTAAAAATAAAGATTGAAAAAGCCCCACAAACCTTAAAAGAACGTTGTAGGCTCATGGAATGGTTTGGATTGAAAGAGATATTAAGGTTTGTCCTGTTCCAGCCCCCCTGCCATGGGCAGGGAAACCTTCCACTAGCCCAGGTTGCTCCAAGCCCCGTCCAACCTGGCCTTGGACACTTCCAGGGATCCAGGGGCAGCCACAGCTTCTCTGCAAGAACTCAAGTGTTGGCAATTCACTCTGATATCCCCAGGGGCTATAACATATTAGCAGCTCAAAGTCCTCCTCCCATCCCTTTTTCCAGGTTCTTCCCCAAGGCACAGCCCACCTGACGAGGGACACAAGCACACTGGAGACCTTTGGTCACCAACCTCCCAGGTTTTTCCCTGCCAGCAAGACTTGGCACATCCTCCAACCTCTCTCTCCTTCCACTCCCCAGGTGAGGCAGGTATTTATCCCCCTCCAAGCTGCTGCAGGGCCTCCTCACAGGTAATTAGCAGCTCAACCTGACTGTAATTATCTGCTTTCAGATGGTGGGTGCTCTCCCACATACCCGGGAAATTAAAAGAAAGGAGTGTTGAGTGGCATTGACAGCCTGACAAGTCCCACCCAGGAGGAGTTTTCCAGCTCATCAAACAGGAAGAAAATGCAGGAGCAAGCCAGGCAGTGATCCAAGGACTGGGAAACACTACAGGGCAGTGGGCAAGGCCCCAAGGCTGCCAGAGCTCCAGGAGGGTTTGGACAACGCTCTGAGGGACAGGGGGGAACTGTTGGGGTGTCTGTGCAGGGCCAGGGGTTGGACTGGATGGTCCTTGTGGGGCCCTTCCAGCTCAGGATTGTGGGACAAGTAGCAGAGGAAGGACACAGCCAAGCAGCCTCCGTGTGCCAGAGGATTTCCCCACGGATCTGTGACAAATGTGTGGCTTGGCAGGAACCCCCAGCACGGACACCACGGGGGTGTGGGGCCACTCCTTGTCAACATCACACCAAAAACTACCTGACCACTCCCACTGCACCAGTGCCACTGACAAATCAGGGAATCCTTGAGGTTGGAAAAGACCTTTAAGATCATGAAGCCCAACCATCAACCAGCACCGTGTTCACCACTGACCCCTGTCCCCAAGTGCCACATCCACGTGGCTTTGAAATCCCTCCAGGGATGGGGACTCCAAACCTCCCTGGGCAGCTGTGCCAGGGCTGGACAACCCTATCCATGAAGGAATTTTTCCTAATACCCAACCTAAAACTTCCCTGATGCAACTTGAGGCCAATTCCTTTTGTCCCACCACTTGCTCCCTGGGAGCAGAGACACCCCCCCCCGGCTCCCCCCTCCTGTCAGGGGGTTGCAGAGCCAGAAGGTCCCCCCTGAGCCTCCTTTTCTCCAGGCTGAGCCCCCCCAGCTCCCTCAGCTGCTCCTCATCACACTTTGTGCTCCATGGACAAAAATCATTATTCCCTCACTTCTTCCAGCCCAACAGAACAAATCTGGGAAAAAAATCCCAAAGTTTCTGAGTACTAGAAAGGCCGTTTGTACAATCAATAACTTATCACATCACACTCCCTCTAACTTAAAACTGGTCATCACAAAAGAAGTAGAATAGGCACAGTCAAATCCTTTTGCAGTTTCCACTCATCTCCAAGTTTTTGAAGGGCAGATTTGTTAGAAGTGACCAGCTCTCGCTATGTCGGGTTTAAAAATGAGACAAAAAGAAATCTTAAACATATTTTCCTGTTCTCATAAAAGTGATGTGCAGCCACCTGGAACTCAATTCTCCCCTGTTTTCAGGCAAAATATTCCCTTGGATTCACCTGCTGGTGTACAAAACCCCCTGGAACTGTGTCTCACATAGAAAAATATGCCAAGTTTTCCTAGTTTCTTATTTCCAGAGCAATTCTGCTTTTCTTCTCGGGCCTTAATTGTTGTGTCACCCAAAGGTGGGGTTTGGTCGTTCCTACCATATTTTGCCTCACCCCAAAACAAACCCACATTCCCACAGACAAACCAGTTCTAAGCTTTTGCCTATAAGGTTGATAAGGAAGGTTTTTACACTTTATTCTCCCCCAGCAATGGGGTTTTTGGGGTACAGATGGCGGGAACAGCTCTGTCACCTCCCCTTCCCGAAGAAGCAGAGCTGTTTCTGGGGTAGGTGGGAGGAGGGTGTGAAGAGCCACAAACCCCAGAGCCCGTGGGCTGATTTCCTGCCTCCAGTCCCTCTCCCGGGCAGGAAAAGCAGTTATTTACACTCAGATTTTCTTCAAGCTCATCCACAGTCCAACAGGAGGGTGGAATTCCACCCTGTTCCCTGAGCATCAGTGCCTGCTGCCAGCACAGACACCTCTGGGAACTCACAAACACGGATCACTCGGGTGTGAACACAAAGGTAGGAGACACAGCAGATAAATTGTTTCTCAGAGCACTATTTCTGAGAGGAAATCACTTCTAAACCTCCAAAACCCAACCCCAGTGCAATCCAAATCGATGCCGTGTTACAATCAGTTCAACTCCATCCAAACCCACTTTTTATACCAAAATACTAATAAAATCCAAAAGGTTTTGTAGTAACAGGCCTGGCTAAAAAAAAAAATCACCGCGAGATAAAGCACCACTTTTCAAGTTACGCCGAATTTTTTAGCCCTTCTCAGCATCACCTTTTTTGGTTTTACTGACAGTTTTACAGAACACCAAGACCACAGATGTGCAGGAGAGGAAAATCAAAACAGACTTGAAAACCACGAGCTTTTAAGGCCTCATCTCTCTCCTCAAAGTCCAGCAGCCAGCAAGCAGTTAAAATAATCTTTGCCTCCTGCTCTCCTCTGCATCATCCCGAGCCTGCCTTAATCTCCCATTAATCTTTCCTCCTGCTATTTCCAGCGCCCAAGGAATTATTCAGCCCGTTATTTTGCAACAAAGAAGAAACAGCAGCGGCTCTAACAGTTCTTTTCTCTTTGCTGTTTCACATTGATGAAATTTCTTAGCAAAGGCTGTAAAATAAACTTTATTTGCCCTTAGCTCGGAAGAAGGGTTTACCCGATCCTCGGGAAAACAGTTGGGAAATCCCAACTTCAGAATTTTTTTAGGAAAACCCCCAGCTTCGAGCAGCTGTGCCAAATCCCATTTACACCGGTTTATATCCACGCAGGAGGAATGTCAGCGGGCAGTGAAATCCTCCCGGTGTTCCGAGCCGGCAGCGGGTGCTTCCTGCTCTGTGTGAGCGCTGGGAAAAACGGGAACGAGCCGGGCTGAGCGGCTTCCAGGGAAACCTACGGCTGAAACCGCCAGCACAAAACCGCTATTCCACGGAAACCTATGGCAGCCCAAAACGTTATTCCGGGGAAACCCATGGCAGCCCAAAACATTATTCCGGAGAAACCTACGGTTGAAATCCACAGCCCAAAACGTTGCTCCGTCCCTACCACACGCAGCCTCCGTCCGTGGCTTTCCAGGGATATTTCGATCCTTCCCGGCAGCCTCGCGCAGCGGAGACGGTGTCTGTTCCTCGGGGAGATCCCGGGCAAATCCCCGCGCGCCAGGGCTGGGATTCAATCCCGGCTTGTCACACATCGCGCTCCGGGTCAGGCTTATCCCCGATTAACAACCCCCGCGGGGAGCGGCAGGAAAGGCAGCGGGATCAGGGCGGGGGGAGCGCCAGGAGCATCGCTCCTCCAGCCGCTCCCGGCGGCTCCCCGGCTCCGGCGGTCCCTCCAAACCCCCTGGAAGCGGGAAAGGAGCCGGGTCCCGTCTCGGCCCGCACCCCCCGCCCCGCTTACCTGCGGCGGAGCCCCGAGCTCGGCTCCCCCTGCCCGGGGCTCTGTCCCCGTGCCCGGGGCTCAGCGCGGAGCCGCCGCCCGCCTCCCCCGCATGGCCGGGAATGTGCGGGGGGAGCGCGGCCCCGGGGCCGCCGGGATCGGGATCAGGATGAGGATGGGGATCGGCACCGCCTCGGCCCGCGATGGCTGCGGATCCCGCGGGACGAGGCCCGGCCCGGCGGACAGGGAGGCGGCGGGACCGGGAGGATGGAGGGATGGAAGGATGGAGGGATGGAGGGATGGAGGGATGGAAGAACGGGCAGGTGCCGAGGGAGGCTTCTCGCCTCCAGAACCGCGGCCGCCGGGAAGGGGCGGGGGCGGCGCGGGCGGGGAAGGGGCGGAGAGGGAGGCGGAGGGAAGGAAGGAATGCGGGAAGGGAGGATGGAGGAGCGGAGATCGGGGGATGCGGGAAGGGAGGATGGAGGAGCGGAGATCGGGGGATGCGGGAAGGGAGGATGGAGGAGCGGAGTTCGGGGGATACGGGAAGGGAGGATGGAGGAGCGGAGTTCGGGGGATGCGGGGAGCCGGGTGGAAGGCAGGGGGACTGAGAGGGTCGGGCGATGCGGGAAGGGGCGAGGAGGAGAGCAGAGGATGCTGTGGGATGGGGTGATGAAGGGAATAGGGGAAGGCAGGGATGCTGCGGGGATGGAGGGGTGCGGGATGGGGTGAGGGGGAAGACGAGAGGAAGGCAGGGAGGAAGACAGGGGGGCTGAGAGGGTCGGGGGGTGCGGGAAGGGGCGCTGAGCAAAGCGGGGGTCGGGGGACGCGGGATGGGGTGATGAGGGGAGCGGGGAGGAGGGCAGGAAGGCTGAGGGGAGCAGAGGTGGATGCTGAGGGGACCGAGGAGGAAGACACGGGGACTGGGGGATCGAGGGATGCGGGAAGGGGAGCTGAGCAGAGCGGGGGGATCGGGGGATGCAGGAGGGGGTGCCGAGGGGAGCGGGCAGCGATGCCGGGGGCAACGGGGGGCAGATGGAGGGAGCAGGGGGGTGCTGAGGGAGCAGGGGAAGACAGAGACACTGAAGCACATCCCCTGCACCACGTTTCAGGTCAGTATCGAAGGTCTGTGCCCTCGCCCAGCGCTGTGCCCATCCCTGCAGGGCAGTGCTGGGGTCACACCGCACCACCACCCCCGCACCGCTCCGACCGACAGCGGGGCCCTGCGGACTCCTTCCCGACTTTTTGAGGGAATCATCTCTCAGTCGAAAAGGAAAACAAAAGGTAAAAGGTGTTCATCCTGCGTGCATGAGGAGCCACGGAAAGATTGCAGAGACATTCCCTAAGGGAGGGGTGGATAAATCACAGAATAAGAGAGTGGGTTGGGCTGGAAGGGACCTTAAATCCCATCCAGTGCCACCCCTGCCATGGGCAGGGACACCTTCCACCAGCCCAGGTTGCTCCAAGCCCCGTCCAACCTGGCCTTGGGCACTTCCAGGGATCCAGGGGCAGCCACAGCTTCTCTGCCCAACCTGGGCCAGGGCCTCCCCACCCTCCCAGCCAGGAATTCCTTCCCAATATCCCACCTAACCCTGCCCTCTGACAGTGGGAAGCCATTCCCTGTGTCCTGTCCCTCCATGCCTTGTCCCCAGTCTCTCTCCAGCTCTCCTGGAGCCCCTTTAGGCCCTGGAAGGGGCTCTCAGCTCTCCCTGGAGCCTTCTCTTCTCCAGGTGAACCCCCCCAGCTCTCCCAGCCTGTCCAGGAGGGTTGGTGTTTGGATCCAGCAATCCCTGCTCTCCTTTCCCTCCCCTGTCCGTGACCAGCCTTGGCAGCACTAAAGCACAGCAAGAAACTCCTGGCTTACAACGTTGTATTGGCAGTTGAATAATATCTTTTTTTTTTTAACACTGAAAACTAAGTGCAGAAACTGAAGTGCTTTGATACAAGGATGAGAAACCTCTTGGCACTTTGTATTTCTGTTCCTCTTGCAAAAATAAGTAATATAAGCATTTTCCTCTTACAAAAATAACTCATATAAGCATTTCCCCCCTTATAAAATAAGTAATAAACACATTTTTTCACTCTGATCTAAAACATTTAACACATGATTTGAGGGCCTCTTACCCTCCCCAAAACACGCTGATAATTGCTCAGGGTTTTTTAACTGCTCTCTGTATGTGAGATGTGCAGCAAAGGGCTAAATGATTCCTGAGGTCAACTCAGAGCCAGCAAAGCAGTGCAGGAGTGGGAATCCAGCATTCCCTGTGTCCCTGAGGATGAGCCAGTCAATTCCTCTGCATTGCAGCTTTCTTATCTCCAGCCCCTCAGCGCTGTGAGAGCATTAATTGCTTCCTGTAAAGCACGTGGAGATGCACAAATGGATGTTCCCTGTGTAAGTGCAGAGGATCCTTTCCCTCTCCACTCCTAACACTCAGAGTAAGGGGTTTGCTCCAAGTGGGAAATCACAGCAGAGGGAAAAAAATAATCCATGGAGTTTGGCACCATTCATTATTTCTATTACATTCTATTGTAGTGAAATAATTTCTATTTATCCTTTTAGAAAAGGAACAGCAAAATTCAGGGACTGAATTATTAATTCAGCGCTAATGGCACCTGTTTGGAAGAGCAGCCTAAAAATCCTTCAGTTTTACTCATGGAAAGCTTTGGGAAAAGTGTCCTTGCCCGTTGCAGGGGGTGGGATGAGATGAGCTTTAAGGTCCTTCCAGCCCAAAGCATTGCAGGATTCTGGGATACAATAACCTGACCAGGATCCCACTCATGGATCTGGAAGCAAAGGGATGTTCTGCATTCCTGTTTGCTCTGGGAGGGAAAAAGAAAAGCTCTAGTAGGAAAAAAAACCCACCCACCAAAAATAGGGAAAGATGAGGAGGAGTGGAGATGGGAAGTGGCTTTTGTATGAGGGAAACTGGAGCCACCTGGATTTTTCCTCTGCCTGTGGAGGCCAAAGGAGAAGAGAGACTGAAGCCCATGAAATCCCAGATGTGCTCAAAAAGTCCAGTATAACTGATTTTCCATGGTTTGGGCTGGAGGAGCACCCAGTGAGAGCATCCAGCAGCACATCCCAGCTCCCTGTGGGGCTGAGGTGCTTTGGGACAAAATTCACAATAATCCTGGCACTGTCCCAGCTCCAGCTGCTGCTGACACCCAAAGTGCCAGCAAATTGAAAGGGATGGGAAGACACATTCCTGGAAGAGCTATAAATAGGTGTTCAGTGGGGTGGTCGGGATGCAGCCCCCACCCTGGGAACACCACATGGGGAATTTGCTGGAAGCACAGGCTGCTGGGAAACAATTCCATTACAATTCTATAGTTTTGCTATTCCTTAGCCTGTTTTCCAGGATTATCCTACAGGTTTGCCATTTCTTAGCCCATTTTCCAGAATGATTTTATATTTTTACTATTCCCTAGCCCATTTTCCAAAATGATTTTATATTTTTGCTATTTCTTAGCCCATTTTCCAGAATTATCCTGCAGTTTTGCTATTCCTTAGCCCGTTTTCCAGAATGATTTTATATTTTTGCTATTCCTTAGCCCGTTTCCCAAACATCCACTCCAGATCAGTGCCAGTCATTCCATCAAGTGTGTCCACTCTTTTTTTTTCCAATAGCAGCTTTAGCACAGGGATAAAGCCAATTTTAAAGAGAGAAGTCTTGGCAGGTCAGAGGAAATAACCTCTATTACAGGAATGTGGTTCTGAACAACTGGGGAAACATGAAGTATAAAACTGGAATATCTACCATGACCTTCCAGCTAATTTTTCATGCCAGAAGGGAACTCTGGTTTTGCTAGAGAATAAATATCTGTGTATTTGTTTCCCTGAACAGATCCTGTGACTTGGGTCTGATCTGCAGAAAGCCAAACAAAGCTGGAGGAAGGAGATGATTTGTTTTCATCTGAGTTTTACATCAATAATTAGGCGAAATACAGATCCCTTTCCCACCAGCTCAGAAATAAAACATGCTGACAGTGGTGCAGTGGGTGCTGCCTTCCAGAGTGATCCATCCCTCCTTTCCCAGGGAACAGCAGCCTATTGCACTCACTCACTGTTATTGCTCTGGCTGTGCTACCTCTTCAAATGCAGGGAAAGCAAATGTAACCATCCATCAACCCCCTGCAATGTCCTTTGGAACACTCAAGCAATCCCAGCCTCCAACAGGGACTTCCCACACGACACAACCTGTTCTGTTTGGAGGGAAAATGGGACAGCCTTTGGAATGTGAGGAGTTTGAAACCCCCCCCACCCCGTGTTCCCTGCGCTCCCTTTGCGCCTCCAACACGAATCCTGCAGGTTTCTTAGGGCAGGGTTTGGCACTCAGAGCTCTCAGCTGATGGAGGAGGTGTGGGAAGGGATAAATCACCTGCACTGGCAGCAGTTCAGGCCCCTCGGACTCGAGTTTCTGCTCAGACAAATGTCACTGGGCTTTGGGATTCCATTTCCCCGTGTCCTGAGTCCTTCTCCCTTGTTTAGAGAGGTAAATCCCAGGCTGCTCCTGGCTAGTCCTGCCTTGGTGGAATCATTTACCTCTGCTTCTGCTTTCTTAATTAAAGACCAGGATATATTTCTCTGCTGGTGGCAGTGAAAGAAGGGCACTAATGCTGGGCCGTGGTTTGCTTCTTAATTAGGTGCATCATCTGCTCCGATTTGGGAAGATGAGCAAGGTTGGTGAAGCTGGAAAACGTGCATGGGACTGAGTCTAAGGCTTTACACTGAGTCTGAGAAAAAACCAAATCCTACACTTCAGTGAACTGTGTTTCAGGTGCAGTGAGGAGCAGGTGAGGAGCACCCTGAGGTCTGGATTTCCTGGGGGGGGTTCCTCAGGACCCCACATCCTGCTCTTTGCCCCAAAACCTCCGCCCAGCCCCAGTCAGGGATGGCAAAAACAGCATCCCAGGGTTGCTCTCAGTTTGAGGGTGAGGAGGATCCAAAGGACACGGGCACCTTTGATGCAAAGCACTTGAGACACGAAAAAATACGTGGGAAAACCCTTTTAGCTCCGGGTTCCAAACACTGTTCTCCAGACATTTGCCATTACCAGAGAATCAATTTTGTCATCAACCCATTTCTTCCTGTTTGATCCAAATTCCTCTCAGAAATGAAGGATTTATAACTTCCTTTCCCTCAATGCCCATTATCATTTATATCCCTGACAGCTCCAGTTGTTAAAAGCAGTACTTGAGGTTTTTTTCCAATAAAGGCCTCCCATCTTTCTGACATTTATTACGACTTTATTAGTTCTCCTCCCTTCTCAGTGAAGCCATTTCATTCAGTGGGGGAGTGTCTGAAGCCCAGGTTTTTCATTACCTCTAACTTACCATAATTTTAGGCCAGGAGTGGCTTTGTTTTGGCTGCTTGTTAAAAACAGCATAAAAACACCTGAACTCAGTTAAAGCTGAGGAAACTCATTTGTGACAGAAAGGGGACTTTAAGGCACTTTTTTCCCCCCCCAGGTGATATTTCCACCTTCTCAGAGTGGAGAGAAGGTGGGTTAGTGTTGATTTTAGAACACCAATCACCCTAAAAGGTCGAGTGAACTGGTTGTGTGATACAGAAATCTTTTTGCCTCTCTATATATGGACACAGAGTCCTCAGTGGGGTCCTTAACTGAGAATTATTAAGAAGTCCCTTCCAACCCAAGCCCCTCTGTGATTCTCTCAGTATCCTATGATAAAAATGCATCCCATTTCCACATTTTTAATATTTTCTTGCAGTTCTCACTAAGGTTTTGGGTGTCAGATAAAGATCTGCCACTCTGCCAAACCCCAGCAGAATTCTGATCACATCTGATCCCTCCCTCCTCTTGTTCACAGCAGAACTTCCATGATAAATGAAGACACTGTTTTAGCAAAACTCAATTCTCTTTGTCAACACAATTCATCTTTCCCCTTCAAGTGATCTGTTTTAAAATTCACATTTCTGCTGCCAGCATCATCCTGGCAATTGTTTGGGGTGGTTTGGGTTTTTTTTTCCTCCTTAATCTGTGCTTCCAATCTCTGTCTCCAGGAAGGGCAAATTGCACTTCAAAATCTTCTCTAGAAACAATGCTTTGTGAATATTGGAACTCACAGACCAAGACAGAAATTTGTTATTAGGAATAAAAAAGTGACTGGAATTCACGTCAGGAAACTGCCTTTGGGGTTTGAGCCTCTTGGAAACCTCAGAGGCCTTGAGGAGAAATTCCTGCCTTTTGTGGTCTCAACTCAGAGGAAAAATAGTGCTTTACAAACCCCTTGAAAATAAAATAAACCCAAAAGAAATGAGGGTCTCAAACAGAAAACACAAAACAGTGCCAGGAGTTTGATCTGGTGACGTGCAGGTCACGCTTGAAACAACTCATCAGCCTTGGAACAAATAATTCCCCCGGGGAAAAGGGAGGGTGGCAAACCTGGGAATGTCTGAGTGACTCCCTTGACAGGGATTGAAGAAGTTTCTCTTCCTTTGAGAAAGCAAAAGGAGTTCTCTGGGTTGCATTTCTCACTTTTACCTCACGTGGATAATTTCATATCTGGAACTCACAAGTAAAATTATTTAAAATAATTGATAATTATTATATAAATTTATTTATATAATAAATATTTATATATTATAAATAGTTGTTTATATAATAAATAAATATCTATATATTATAAATATATATTTATATAATATATATATTATGTATTATAAATATATATTTCTATATTGTAAGTATATATTTATATAATAAATATATATTTTATGTTATGAATATAATATATACAAAATAATTATTAAATATAATTTTTTAAATCCAGGTCACCCTTTGTGACCCAGCTGAGCCCCCAAATGCACTTACTGCTCACAAAATAAAGGTGGCAATAAATAAATGCCCCACTTTGTGGGGGTTCTGGCTGGTTTTAGGTTTTGACAGCTGATGATCTTAAAGGTCTTTTCCAAGCTTACCAATTCCACAGCTCTATTCTGTGGTTGTAAATAGTGCTGGCTACACAGCTCCAGGGTTTAGGAAGTGATTCCCGGGCTCAGGAATGGCGAGGCAGGGACAGGGACAGCAGGGTGTGGGAACCCTCCTCCCCTGGAGAGACCAGGGTGCTCCCCCTGTCCCTGGCTGTGCCTGGAATGGCCGGGAATTCCCTCCCAGCAGCCATGGATCCGATCCCTGCTCTCAGGGCTGTTCCACAGGAGAGCATCAAACCCTGCTCAGAGGCAGGGACAGGACCCAGCCCCACCCAGCTGCCTCCTGCCCCAGTTAACACTTAATGACTGTGCCCAGGGACAGGGCTGGAATATGGCCCTTCCTGCCTCATTCCCAGCAGCCCCCCGGGAAATGGGAGTTCTCTGGGGCAGAGGTGGAAGTTAAACCCCAGCCCTCCCACCCTGCCTGGGCTCTGCAGCCCCTGCCCTGGGCCAGGCACCAGTGGGACCTCCAGGGGCACAGCACCAACACCTGCTGGAGCTAATCATGGATTCATGGAATATCCTGAGCTGGGAGGGACCAATAGGATCATCCATCCAACCCCTGGTCCTGCCAGACACCCCAGCAATCCCACCCTGTGCCCCAGAGGATCATCCAAACCCTCCTGGAGCTCTGGCAGCCTTGGGGCCGTGCCCACTGCCCTGGGGAGCCTGGGCAGTGCCAACCACCCTCTAGGGGAAGAACCTTTTCCAGGTTGGACAGGGCTTGGAAGATACCCCTGCCCATGGCAGGGGTGGAATGGGATGGGCCTTAAAGTCCCTTCCAACCCAAACCAGCCTGGGCTTCCATGACATTCCAGGTCAGCACCTTGTGCCAAACCCTGTGTTCCTCATTTCCAGCCTGGCATTCATGGAACGCGATTCCAGCAGAAACTGCAGCCCTGTTTTAATCAGAATTATTCACCTGAAGTAGCTGCTAGATATTTATGGCATTAATTCAGCCTTAATGGCTCCTCTGCCTGGGGAAATGTTTCGTTTTAGGGACACGCCACTCACAGCCAGGGGTGACCTCGCTCCTCTCAGGGACACAGATATTCCAGGGACAGCGTTTTCCTGGGGTTTACTTTGCTCCTGTCAGGAACTGCTGCCGTGTTTGAAACCAGAGAGCACGTTTTTATGCCTATAATAGCAACCAACAAGCTTTTTGGCTCAAAAACAACCCACAAATGTTCTTAGGTACAAATAAACGAGCAGTTATTTCCCGTTGTGGTGCAAATTTGGTGTCTCAATTCTCTCCGTTTAAATGCAGAGGGGTTTGGCCTTGGTGCCTACAACACCAACAGAAATATTCCTGGGGAAGGAATGAAGTGTGCTATAAAAGGAGGAACTCCATTCCCTTTGTAAGCACTCTTCCCAAATGTTTTCCCGAGGCATTACCCAAATGTCACTTCTACTGCTTGCAGAATTTCCCTCGTTAAAAAAACGCATTAATTTGGTTTAATTTTGCACTCTGTGAATCCATGTGAGAGCAGGCAGCTCATTGAAAGCTTTCTGGTGGTGGGAAGATGCCACCCACACCTTGGGAGAGCAGCTGCTGTGTTGGAGTCGGTCTCCAAGTAACATCCAAACCTGGAAGTGGCTTAATTGCCTCCTTGGATGCTGCTGCCGGAATTTCACGCATGGCAGGATCCAGAGCCTGCTCTCAGCCATTAACTTCTTCCTGCCCCAGCTCAGGTCTGTGACTCCAACAAAAGAAATCACAGACTGATGGAATCACTCAGGGTGGAAAAGACCTTGGAGATCCTCCAGTCCCACCATCCCCCAGCACTGCCAAAGTCACCCCTGAGCCCTGTCCTCAGGTGCCACATCCACAGGGCTTTGAAACCTCCAAACCTCCCTGGGCAGCCCCTGCCAGTGCCTGACCACCCTTTCCATGAGGAAATTCCTCCTGATGTCCCACCTGAGCCTCCCCTGGCACAGCCTGAGGCCGTTCCCTCTCCTCCTGTCCCTTGTTCCCTGGCAGCAGAGCCCGACCCCCCCCGGCTCCCCCCTCCTGTCAGGGGGTTGCAGAGCCAGAAGGTCCCCCCTGAGCCTCCTTTTCTCCAGGCTGAGCCCCCCCAGCTCCCTCAGCCTCTCCTGCTGCTCCAGCTGTGTGGGTTCCCTCATCCTGAAGCAGCACAAAGGCAGGAAGGAGTTGAATTCCAAGGACAGGGGTCTGTTGTGGGTTAAAATTGGCCCAAATGGTCCTTGAGGTCCCCCTTCCAACCTGCTGCTCCTTGAGTCTGTGAAAATCAATCCTGAGCCTGCATAATGAAAGGATTCCAAGTGGAACTCCGTGCCAGTTGAATTTGGGATCAGCTGCCCAGCTCTGAGAGTCCTGATTCCAGACTTTCCAACAGAACCAGGAGCGTGGGAGTGCTGGAAGGGAAAATCCTTCAAATTAAGTTGCCCAGAGAAGCTGTGGCTGCCCCTGGATCCCTGGAAGTGTCCAAGGCCAGGTTGGAGGGGACTTGGAGCAACCTGGGCTGGTGGAAGGTGTCCCTGCCCATGGCAGGGGGTGGCACTGGATGATCCTTAATTTCCCTTCCAACCCAAACCATTCCAGGATTCTGGGATTTTGCCTGCTGCTCTCTGGGCCCAGCTGGAGAACAGAAATCCTTACAAACTGCCTCCTGTATCCCTGTGGAGTGGTCCTGGCTCCTCATTCAGCCTGCTGTGTTTGTCTAAAGCACTTTTACTCCAGCACATTCCAGCCCTTGGACTCCAGCACATTCCAGCAGTGCCCTGGTTAGGGCTGAGAAGTCACTAAATTCCAATTCTGTGCTTTCAGGAGCATCATCCAAACAAATGACATTTTGGACACCAATTTCTCTGCCTGTTCTGAGCTCCCTGTTATGTCCAAGCTCTGCTACAAGTGAGGTGATGAAGGAATTCATTCCCCACGTGTTGAAAGTATTAATGAAAATATTTTTTCCTGTTGGCAAAGGTATTTTTCCCGGTGGGATTCACCCTTTTTAATAATTTGAGCTTAAAGTGTGACACTTCCATAGTGAATCCTCTCCTTTATTCCTTAGCTATAAAACAGAAAATAGCTATTTCTTACCCCACAGATGCAACACTAAATAAAAAAAAAAATAAAGAATTCAAGTGGTCATAAAACAGTCTCACATGGACATGTGCTTTTCAGGCCCTGCAGGACCCCCTGCCCACCAGTTTGTCTAAAAATTCATAGTCAAATAATATATCAAAGGTATAAGGATGTAATTTAGTCTCCATTCCATGTCCCTTCAGACTTTGGACTCAGTTCCAACCCTGCCTACAGCTGAGAACTGATGTCACATAAGGCAGGATTAACAATAATCTGCTGTTATAGAAGGAAAAAAAAGAGGAATAGACATAAAAAGGGGCTGTTTAATTAAAATAATTCATACAAGGAGGTTTCTTAGGTGGTTAATGATAAATTAAACTATTAACTAAACATCTGGTGTGGGGAATTCAACTCTAAAGGAATGAAATCTGACAATCAGAGTAACAGGCCTGTTATTAATGTGTGGACTGTGTGGTGTGGAGAACACCAGTCCTGCCCCAAAATGCCTCACAAACCCAGGCAGAGCTAATTTTAAGCAAAAGCAGTAAATTTTTGCTTAACTTGAAATATCCACGAGGTGTAAATTGAAGAGGAATAAAAGCTGGGGTGGATGCAGCTGGAGGGAAGAGGGAGTAAACATTTTCATGGAGATGAGACAAACTGAACTGGAGAGAACAGTGGGAGCAAGGGAAGTAAACCAGAAGGGAAAGACAAGACAGATGTGCTGTGCAGAGGGAGAGATAAGTGGCCAGGGGAGAGAAATTACACTGGGAGGAAGGTAAAAGATGAAGAAAGGGAAAAAACACACCTGATCTTCCAGGGACAGCCCTTATCAGGCAGAGCCAGAAAGGAAAACTCCTGGAGTTCTTTTAGAAAAGCAACTCAGACAGGAAGAAATCACAGGATGAGACAGAGAAACCCCCAAACACCCAACCCAGACAGGAAACCTGAGGCTGAACTGAAGGAGGCAGAAGGCAACAAAAATAAAGATGAGAGAGAATTATGCTGAGCTTTTCTGGTGGCATTTGCAGTTAAAGGCTCTTATACTTGGGCTAGAATGGAATTTCTAGGTTTTTTTTATTCCCCTAAATCCTCTGGAACACCTGGGTGGGAGCTGACAGGCCACAGCACATCTTGGAGGCTCCTTCTTAGTCCAGATTAAGTTCTCTAGACAAGGATGCAAAGGATCCTTCTGGCTGGGAAGTGTTCACGTGCAACACATTTTAACAACTGTCCAGTCAGCCTAGAAGGAGAAATTTTTCTTTGAGGCAGAATTTCTCCCTGAAAAGGGAGAAATTTCTCTCTGGAAAGGTCAGACCTTGGCAGGGGCTGCCCAGGGAGGTTTGGAGTGCCCACCCTGGAGGTGTCCCAGGAAGGCCTGGCCGTGGCACTCAGTGCTCTGGGCTGGGGGACAAGGGGGGCATCGGGCACAGGGGGATCCATGGGCTGGGAGGGCTTTTCCAGCCTCAGGGATCCTGGGATTCAGCTGAAGTTTTATCAGCCTGTGAGAGCTCAGCTGTGCCAAGATAGAACAGAGCTGTCCAGATTCTTATATATGGGTGGATTCCAAAGATCATAGAACTGTAGAATCACTGAGGTGGGAAAAGAGCC